TAGCACGGGCGCCGACCTGGCGGCCTAGCACAGGCGCGAACTGCGAGACGAACTCGCCAACGAATTCGGCATGCATATCCTAACACTCCCACGATCCTTGGAAGTTGGCCCACATGTCGAACGATCCGGAGGGTGGTCAACGTGCATGGCGGTTACCTCCGGGAATCTCGGACCACTTAGACGACCTCGCGGAAATCTCGGATGCGGTGCGTAAAGCCCACGCCAAACAATGCCTATATAAAGGCACCAACCCCAATGGCATTGGGGGGGGGGGGCAAGTAAGCATATTCTAGCTCTCATACTTTGTGATTTTTAACTCGCAGTCTACTATGAGAGTACTGACTTAAGCATTGGAGCGACCTCGCCGGGTTAGCCACCCCGAGTCCTCTGACATTGGTTCCTCGCAGGTCCCTAAAGAGCGACGAAGCTCAACAATCAATCCATCTCGCCACCAGGCAGCTCGGCTCTCTGGTCAGCTCGACACTTAATAGGCAACTCGACACTCTGGTCAGCTCGTCACCTAATAGGCAGCTCGGCCCTCTGGTCAGCTCGTCACCTAATAGGAAGCTCGGCCCAGTCGGTTCAGCACCTAACCTTCCCAGCTTGACCCAGTTAACTCGGCACCTAATCTGCCCCCATCTCAGACCAAATGATGAGGTACTTAGCACAAAAAATTAATACATCACAAAAAATTGATTCATCAATTGGCGTCGTCTGTGGGAAACGCTACAAAAAGCTAAGTTCTCATCCTCCAAAAGGCTAAGTCCTCTTCTTCCAGAAAACTAAGTTCTCACCTTTTAGAAACTAAAAGCTCTCACTTTCTAGTTTCCATTTTTTATAAACTCAAAGACTATGCAAGAAGTTGATGGCCAACAGACTAAGCAGCTCTACCAACTTTATTTCAACTCGGATAACGCCTCATCAGTCCTCTTCGCGAGGTACCCTCTACAAAGATGAGCTCTTCGTGGCTTCCGCGGGAGTAGGCGGCCAATAGACTCCATGGACGCCCCTGCCGGTTGAGCCTTCCAAGGCTCCCATGCGAGCTGGTGACCTAAAGTCAATAGTGCTGCCCCCGTAGGTCGAGCTCCTAGTAGCTTCTTGTAGGAATGGGTAACTGACGTCACTAACGAGGCTGATGCAGCCCAGCCGTAGCTCTAAGGCACCGACCTGGCGGCCTGGCCCAAGCGCGACCTGGCAGCCTGGCCCAGGCACGAACTGGTGAGCTGATAAAAGACCTTGGCACCACATAAGTCTCAGTCACCTCCTCGGCATGGGCATACAAGTCCCAGTCGCCTCCTCGGCATGGGCACATAAGACCCAGTCACCTCTTCGACATGGGCAAAATCAAAGATCAAGGAGAGTGGACTACGAGTCGCTCCTAGAGCCTAAGGGTTAAAGTGCCGAACTGGCAAAGACTTCGGCACCACATAAGACCCAGTCGCCTCTTCGGCATGGGCAAAATCAAGGGTAAGGAGAGTGGACTGCGAGTCGCTCCCAGAGCCTAAGGAATGGAATCAACGCTTACGAGCTCATCGAATTAATCATTTCAGGCCAAAAGGAGCAATCTACTCCCTTCGCCGAGTTACTTTCGGATCGGGAGTGGGGGGCAAATGATGAGGGCGGATTTGGCCCTCCAATGATATTGTGACACATGGCACCTCAGAACAAGTAGGTGACACCCGAAACCACTTAGGCAACAACTTGCCTTAGCCAAGTTGGTGGTGTCTGACTTGGCGGCCCGGTCCAAGCGCGACCTGGCGCGGCCTGGCACAGGCGTGACTTGGTGGCCTAGCCTTGGCGCCGACCTGGCGGCCTGGCCCTGGCGCGACCTGGCAGCCTGGCACAAGCGCCGACCTNCGCCGACCTGGTGGCCTGGCACAGGCGCCGACCTGGCGACCTGTGAGACGAGCTCGCCGACGAATTCGGCATGCATATCCTAACACTCCCACGATCCTTGGAAGTTGGCCCACGTACTGAACGATCCGGAGGGTGGTCAACATGCATGGCGGTTACCTCTGGGAATCTCGGACCACTTAGACGACCTCACGAAAATCTCGGATGCGGTGCGTGAAGCCCACACCAAACAATGCCTATATAAAGGTACCAACCCCAATGGCATTGGGGGGCAAGTAAGCATATTCTACCTCTCATATTTTGTGATTTTTAGCTCGCTGTCTACTATGAGAGTACTGACTTAAGCATCGGAGCGACCTCGCCAGGTTAGCCACCACGGGTCTTCTGACATTGGTTCCTCGCAGGTCCCTAAAGAGCGACGAAGATCAACAATTAATCCTTCACCACCAGGAAGCTCGACACTTAATAGGCAGCTCGGCACTCTGGTCAGCTCGTCACCTAATAGGCAGCTCGGCCCTCTAGTCAGCTCGTCACCTAATATGCAGCTCGGCCCAATCGGTTCAGCACCTAACCTGCCCAGCTTGGACCAATTCGGCACCTAACCTGCCCATCTCGGCCCAGTTAACTCGGCACCTAATCTGCCCCCAACTCAGACCAAATGACGAGGTACTTAGCACAAAAAATTGATACATCACCAAAAATTAATTCATCAATTTCAATTATACGAAGTTGGAAAAAACGCCCTAGTGGTTCTTCTGATTGTCCACTGAGGTCTCATTTCCTTCTAATTGTTGCCCGCCCGGAGAGGAGTTTGTTAGGGGTGACTCCCTTCTTTCTCTCTCTGTTTCAAGAGAGGCTCACTCTCGAGATCTCTCGAGTTTTTTTTTTCTTTTCTGTTCTGTTTAGTTTCTCTATTCTTCTCTCCATTTCTCCCCTGTTCCCATATATTTTTTTGTTCTTCTTTTTCTGTTTCCCCATATGTTCTTTTGTTTTGTTCTCCATTTTGTTCCCATCTGTTCCTATCTGTTCGTTTGTTCTCCCCTGTTCCCTTATGTTCCCCATCCATTATTTTCTTCCCTTCTGTTTTTTTTTTCTTTTCTGTTCGATCTTTTTGCGGGCATTTTGATTTGGAGTTTCTTCTCTAGAATCCTTTCAGCAACAAACACTGGTGGAAGTTTCCACTTGCATTGTCGTTTCCAACGTTGTGGAAGACAATTGCAGTTCTTCGGCATCCAGGATGGCAGTTATAGTTCTCTGGCATTTCGGATGGCAGTTACAACTTTTTGGCATTGTAGATGAACGTTTCAGTTCTCCGACATTTTTTTGGATGGTAGGTCACAGTGGACAACAATCCAGTGTGCTGGATGGCAGTTACAGATCTTGTCGTCTTTTGTGGATTGGTTCAAAGTGGTTGGAAGTTACAGATCATGGCTTTTGGCTTTGTAACCTCCTATGACAATTTTTGTTTTTTGTTGTAAACCTCCCTTGTCAGTTATACTTGCCAGTTATGGTGGTTTGGAGATGTACTTATCCACTTCTGTTGGTGATTTTAAGTCACCTTGCTTTGGTTGCAGAAGTTCTTTCGATTCTCTTACATCCATCTCTTTATTTTGTTCTTCTTGAGAATTGTATCTGAACTTTAATTGGCATTGTTGGCATATCTTTGTATCAATCTCTAGAATGAATGAAATATGATTTAAGCTTTCAAAATATTATCCGAAGTAGGTTACATGAATCTTATGTCACTATTCTGTTTAAATTATAACATTAAAATCATTTCTTACTACTTGAAGTACCCCTGCCCTTTTAGATTTTGCTCTTCAACTTAAAACTGATCATTCTTTAGGGATGTTGTTAGATTTTGATTTTTTTTATTATACTTATTTTAAATATCAGAACTCATAAATCCATTTAAAGATTTGATTTTTTTTTTGGCAAAGATTTGAAAATTTGGTATTTATAACTATAAGTATTAACCTCATAGATATGATATATAGATATATAAAATTTAGGGTCATTTACTAGAACACTCTTTATAGTTTCATGTATTTGCTTAAACCTACATAGATATAGTACTTTTCATTTTACTAAAATATCTCTTATACCTTACAATCTATTTACTTAATCGACCTTTTATTAAAGAGTATTTGTTTTGTCATTGGGCCCATAATTATTTATTCTAAGAATACTCCCAACACTTTTTATATAAAAAACAAAATTGACTAAATATAATCAATATAGTGGTTGTTTGTCTTATTTGAGACAAAAATGATATTTTCATTTTTATTTTCCTTTTCATTAAATTTATTCAAATGGACATTAAATTGGATATGATCAAATCCGCGTTCAGATTCGATTACCAACTGATGCTAAAGTATATATAACTATGAAAGCGGACCCGGATCATCCGAATCCATTGACAGTTCTTCCAATTAATGAAAATCAGAATCTCTACTTAATTAGTACTTACCACCAACAGTACTGTTTAATGATTAATTAAAACTAGAGAGAAAGATTGATTATTGGGGGCACGCCATGGACTGGCTTCCTCTATAAACCAACCCCTTCCCCTTACTGGTGCCAAGTATACAAAACATATCGGGTGGATCCGATTCTGACGTGGCATGAGATCATCACACATCAGGAAGTGTTGCCTCCACGTTCGCGTAGAACTAGCAACGGGGAGTGGGAAGCATTTAAAATGACCAATATGCCCTTTCAGTTTAGAATGCATTGAGTTCGTTTGTGGTCTTCTACCTTGTACGAGGGTGGTAGGTAGGTTGGTCTTCTGGGTTGGTAGCGATCAACTCTTTCGTCTACATTGTTGGTCGTTTATGTCCGCTGGAGCTTTTGGTAATTTCATGTAGTTTTACGATGAGAGAGAGAGAGGGGTTCAAGTCTCACTCCCACCAACCACCACCACCTCTCATCTCAGTTGGGGTTTGACGAGTAAAAACACGCGATTAGTCTTCATGCGGCCTTCGTGCCTCGTATGGATGCGTCGTGGCAACATCGAAGCGGTCCTATCAGATGAAGATCCAGCGGTCACCATATGTTTTCAACTAACCCGTTGAGGGCTTCCCAGTTCCTACCCAACACTCAATGCGACGAGCCCCCTCCTCTATTTAAAGCACCAAACTCCGCTGAACCCAACTCAGCAAATTCATTGCTTCCCTTTAGATTTCCTTGTTCACACCCAAATCTCACAAGCTCCTTCTCGTCTTCTCATCCTCTCTCTCTCTCTGTTTGGTTTGTGTCTTCTGAGAAATTAAAATGGAATTCGCCCAGGAGAACTGCAATGGCAACGGCTCCCTCAAAAGCTTCTGCATCCAACAAGACCCATTGAATTGGGAGAAGGCCGCCGAGTCTCTCAAGGGCAGTCACCTCGATGAGGTTAAGCGCATGGTCCAGGAATTCCGGAAGCCCGTCGTCCGTCTCGGTGGCCAGACCCTTACCATCTCTCAAGTGGCCGCCATCGCCACTCACGACGCCGGCGTCAAGGTCGTGCTCTCCGAGTCCGCCAGAGCCGGAGTCAAAGCAAGCAGCGACTGGGTAATGGAGAGCATGAACAAGGGCACCGACAGCTACGGTGTCACCACCGGTTTTGGTGCTACTTCCCACAGGAGAACCAAACAAGGAGGAGCCCTTCAGAAGGAGCTTATTAGGTAAATTTTTTAAATAAAAATAATAATAAATTCCCACACAAATTTGTCGTATCGCAACCCGGGTGTGCGTCCGGCTCAGCCAGACACAATTTGTCGGGTTGCTCTGATTGCCCAGAGAACCGGAGAACTGGTTGTGGTTGGTGGTTGATGGTTGGTGGTGGTGGACGAATGACGATCTATCTGAATCAGTGAATTGCGGTCTATATTAAAGAATATATAGTCGTATCGCAACCACTGATAATTCACTGCAATGGACGGCAGTGATTATATCATCAAGCCGAATTATGGGGAAGGAGATTTGGTGATGGTAGGTAGGTGGACGATCAATAGGAGTAGGTCAAGTTGGAGTTAAGAGTAGGAAAATCGGGTGGCATTTCAGAATGGGCCCGGGTCGACTCGTTTGGGGGGTGTGCGTGGCTGATACCAAAATCCGTGATAAGACACTTGTCACTGATCAGGAGATAAGAACCGTATGTTTTACGGTTGGACAAGGGCCCACAAAACCTGACCAAAGACAGAGGGTGATCAATAATCAATTCCCCTGTAACTTCCTACAACCATTTGATTTGGACCGAAAGGAGGAGCTGTGGCCTGTGGGCCCTCTTTTTAAAATGCTAGGCTGCTAGAGTGCTAGCTAGTAATTTTCAATTTTTCCATTTCTAAATTAATCTGTGTAATTTCTGTGCACCAGATTTTTGAACGCTGGAATCTTTGGGAACGGAGTGGAATCGTGCCACACGCTGCCACACTCGGCCACGAGAGCGGCCATGCTGGTGAGGATCAATACACTTCTGCAAGGATACTCCGGCATCCGTTTCGAGATCTTGGAAGCCATTACCAAGCTCCTGAACAGCAACATCACTCCATGCTTGCCTCTGAGAGGTACCATCACAGCGTCCGGCGATCTCGTCCCGCTGTCCTACATCGCCGGTCTCTTGACCGGCCGACCCAATTCCGTCGCCGTGGGACCCGACGGACAGAACCTTAATGCCGCTGAAGCCTTCAGCCTTGCCGGGATCAATGGTGGGTTCTTTGAGCTGCAGCCTAAGGAGGGTCTCGCGCTTGTTAATGGCACTGCAGTGGGGTCTGGTCTGGCTTCCATGGTTCTCTTCGAGGCCAACGTGCTCGGTGTCTTATCGGAAGTGTTGTCGGCCATCTTCGCCGAAGTTATGCAAGGGAAGCCCGAGTTTACCGACCACCTGACTCACAAGTTGAAGCACCACCCGGGTCAAATTGAGGCTGCAGCTATCATGGAACACATCTTGGACGGAAGCTATTACATTAAGGCAGCTCAGAAGCTCCATGAGATTGATCCCCTGCAGAAGCCCAAGCAAGACAGATACGCCCTGCGTACGTCTCCGCAGTGGCTGGGCCCCCAGATTGAAGTGATCAGATCATCGACCAAGTCGATCGAACGGGAGATCAACTCTGTGAATGATAACCCATTGATCGATGTCTCCAGGAACAAGGCCCTCCATGGCGGAAATTTCCAGGGAACTCCAATTGGTGTTTCCATGGACAACACCCGGTTGGCGATTGCCTCCATCGGAAAGCTCATGTTTGCACAGTTCTCCGAGCTGGTTAACGATTTCTACAACAACGGGTTACCATCCAACCTATCAGCAAGTCGAAACCCCAGCTTAGATTATGGCTTCAAGGGTGCCGAGATCGCAATGGCAGCCTACTGCTCTGAACTCCAGTTCCTCGCGAATCCGGTGACCAACCACGTCCAAAGTGCAGAGCAGCACAACCAGGATGTCAACTCCTTGGGCTTGATCTCTTCCAGAAAGACTGCCGAGGCAGTGGACACATTGAAGCTCATGTCTGCAACATACTTGGTTGCACTGTGCCAGGCAATTGATTTGAGGCACCTGGAGGAGATTTTGAAGAGCACAGTCAAGAACACAGTGAGCCAAGTGGCCAAGAGGGTTCTCACCATGGGCGTCAACGGAGAGCTCCACCCTTCGAGGTTCTGCGAGAAGGATTTGCTCAAGGTGGTCGACCGAGAACACGTCTTCGCCTACATCGACGACCCATGCAGCGCCACCTACCCGCTAATGCAAAAACTCAGGCAAGTCCTCGTCGAGCACGCGCTCCTCAACGGCGAGAACGAGAAGAACTCCAACACCTCAATCTTCCAGAAGATCACCGCCTTGGAGGAGGACCTTAAGACGCTTCTGCCCAAAGAAGTAGAGGCTGCGAGAATCGCCTACGAGAGCGGGAGCCCGGCAATCCCGAACCGCATCAAGGAATGCAGGTCATACCCATTGTACAAGCTCGTGAGAGAAGAGCTGCAGACCGGTTTGCTGACCGGCGAGAAGGTCCGATCACCGGGGGAGGAGTTCGACAAGGTGTTCACTGCAATATGCCAGGGGAAAATAATCGATCCTCTATTGGATTGTCTCAAGGGTTGGAACGGTGCCCCTCTTCCAATCTGCTAGACTATTTACTACCATTTACTGCATTTCGACATTAATTGTTCTGTTCTTTTATTTTCCTTTAATAAGTTTTTTTTTTTTAATTTTATTTCATGGATTGCCGGCCATACAACGCCGGTTTCCGGCAGTCGACAGGTGATTTTCCAGCCGTTTACGTTGCTTGTATGTTTTCTTTGCTTTGTAATCTCTTGACTTTGATTTTGATGCAACATCAAATGTAATATATTCAAGCTATTAGCCATGGTTCCTTGTATTCTCTCTCTCCCTCTACGTTGGAAAATTACTTAAAACTTCCTTTACGTTTGAAAGAAGGTACAAACCTTATCACGTAATCCAAAAATCCATGGATCAGGCCTTTCTACTTGTGGGCCATTTTTTAAGGGGAATAGCATACGAGGACAAAATGTTTAATATCAATAAAAGTAATATATTTAAAAAAATTTCAGGTTAATTTTTTAAAAATAATATCAATAAGGAGAAAAAACATTCTTCATCTTCTTCTTCCGGCTATTTGTTCATCGGTGCCGCCGCTTGCCACCACTCTTCGTTGCCGTTCCGCACCTCTCTGCCCACCTCCGCCTCCGTGTCAAGTAACATTGCCGAAGGTGGCCAAAGGTAGAGGTGGCAGAGACGACGCTGGTGGTTTCTCTATCCAACGCTATCACCTCCGCCTCCGCCTCCAGCAACGTTGCCGGAGGCAGAGCTGGTGGCAACGACAGGCAGGCGGAGGCAGAGGTGGCAGCATTGGAAAGAGAAACCACCTCTGCCTCCGGCCACCTTTCACAACGTTGCGGGAGGCGGAGGTGCGACGGGCGGCAATGGAAGGTGGTGGCGGGCGGCGGCGGACGGCGATAGGCGGCAGTTCCGGTGAACAAATGGCAAGAAGAAGAAAAACAGTGTTTTGCTTTTTATTGATATTATTTTTAAAAAGTTATTTTGAAATTTTTTTAAATATAGGGTGAATAGCATATAAGACAACTTTTGGGTTTAATATCAATAAAAGTAATATATTTTAAAAAATTTCAAAATCATGTTAACTTTTTAAAAATAATATAAATAAAGGGCAAAAACACTGTTTATCTTTGTCATTTGTTCACCGGAGCTGCCGTCTGCCACCACCGCCCACTATCACCCGCTGCCGCCCGCCGCACCTCTGCCCACCTCTATCTCCGCCTCTAGCAACGTTGCCAGAGGTGGCAGCGGCGGCACTGGTGGTTTCTCTGTCCAACGCTGCCACCTCCGCCTCCACCTCCACCTTCGGTAACGTTGCCGAAGGTGGCCGGAGGCAGAGCTGGCGGCAGCGGCGCTGGTTGCCATTCCTCTGCCCGTCGTTACCACCACCTTTGTCTCCACCAACCTCCAACAATGTTGTCGGAGGCGGAGGCGGAGGTGGGCAGAGGTGGCAACGTTGGATAGAGAAACCACCAGCGCCACTGCCGCCACCTCTACCTCTGACCACCTTTGACAACGTTGCCAGAGGCGGAGGTGGAGAGGTGGAGGCGGAGGTGCGATGGGCGGTAGCAGACGGTGGTGGCAGGCGGCAGTAGACGATGGTGGTGAATGGCAGTACATGATGGTGGTGAGCAGCAATTCCGGTAAACAAATGGCAAAAAGAAGAAGATGAACAATATTTTTGCCTTTTATTGATATTATTTTAAAAAATTAACCTATTTTTAATATTTTTTTAAATATACTATTGATATTAAACCCCAAAAGTTGCCTTTATATGCTATTAAATGGGCCGTGACCAAAAGATTGTAATTAGTTTATAAAAGAAAAGCAATTGCACGTGACATGACCCACCTTAGTCAGGAGTGGGCAAGCGTTCACCATGATTTTTCATGGGACCCATATATCTCCACTCCACTCTAGCTTCAAGGTTTCAAGTCCACACCACCGTATGAAAAGTTCAGTACATTCATTTATATTATTCCCTGTCTCGTTCTCATTGAGCCATTGCATCTTCTCGCACGTGCCACCACCAAACTTGACGGTGGGTGGTAGGTGGGGGAATGCATGGCTCCCCTTCTTCCTTGCTAACTTGTCACCAACTCAACACTCGTCGAGAATACGCCCTCATTTCATTCTCTCTCTCTTAGAAAAAACAAGAAATAAAAGCAAATGAGAAAGACAAAAATTTTATAGCCAGGTGGCAAGATATCTTCTTTTATTAAAGATTGGGATATATAGCCCTTATGGATTCTGATTTGTGCGTTTTTCAGATGTGAGATGCTACACTTTAATGGCAAAGGGTGAAAACAGAATTCATTATCTGATTCGATATAATTGGGACAAGGATTAGATGATGATGACGATGTATAATCCTTATTATCATGTTCATAACAGAACTAGAGTCATTTCTACAATATCTACCCATATATGTATTTAGGGCTGTCAATTGGATTAGATTTGATCCAACCCAATTCAGTCCAATATAAACCTATTATAGATGAACTAAATTCAATTCAATGAATATTTTGGACTATTTTAAACCAGTCCATTCAATGTTTGGACTATTTAATCTGTTTAAAATGGTTTTAATTTAAAGCCATTCCAAACCAAATTTGTCTATTGACACCTATACCAAATATTGGTTCAATCCAAACTAATCCAATATACATCTATTACAAATGGATCAGTTCCAATCCAATCCAATAAATATTTTAAACTCGACTAGCCCAATTCAAAGTGCCTCATTGGTCCATCCAAATTTATTTTAATTTGGATAGGTCAACCAAAACCGGTTCATTAACACCCCCCTTTATGTATCACAGTCCTTATCCGATACCGATCGGTGACCTAAATTGTACCAGCATTATCTCTCCAACTGGCTGAAGTAAGACTGTTATTGTAATGGAACAATCCAGGCAGGAAGTATAATTAGTTGGGAGCCTAAGAATTAAATACAGCTTCAATCCATTTCGAAATCATTCCATTTCCAGTTGGTAAGGTAGTTTTCTTTAGTTGATTTGAAATTCCAGGTCAAAGAGAACGAACAGAAGAGTTTGACTGATTGAGGAAAGTTTAACCAATAATCGAGCTCCATTTTCGTATCACACAGAGCCACAGAGGTTTTCTTTCTCCATTTCGTTTTTATTCTTACACCATTGCCATCTACACAATTACTTTTTCTGGTCCAATCCAACAAACCTGAATCGGTCCATAGGCTTTGGGTTGAAACCCATTCTAGATATAAGTATCGATATATCATCATCGGATATACACAAACATACTTATTGAATGTTTCAACCACACAACTTCTTTTTAATTGACCAGGGGGTTCAATCTTAGGCCTGCCTACCCTAAAACTGGTCAAAACCCCAAAAACTCCTTATTTGAGAGTCGATCTACTGATCATAATACATTGTTGGTCATGCTCACTAGCTATACATTGAAAATATCAATGACGTAAAGTACAACCAATGTTCTTGATGTATGGCTGGATGAATGTGGTCAACAATGTGTTGTGGTCATTAGATCCAAAGGCATGAATGTATAAAAGTACGAAAAAAAAATTGATATAGTATTTGTATTATATACATTATACTTTTTGTTTTCATACTTTTAAAAGTATGAAAAACCCTAAAAGTATGATGTCAGCTTTTTATACTTTGTGCTCTTGGTGAAATAGTGCTTTCGTTTCATACGAATGGGCCTTTTGATAAAATTCTTAATCCTACCTCTATTTGTTGCTGCTAGAGTCAGACTGTTGTTGCTGGTCTCAAACCGCAAAACCACTGGAAACCGTCACCAAAAGTATATATGAATGTACTTTTGTCAAACAGAAAATGGTATTTCTTCTTTCGAAAGCATATTTTTTAATTTTTTTATTTAAATAATTTTCAAAGCAAAAATATCAAAGTAAAAGTATTTTATGTACTATTTTTAAAAATATAAAAATAAAAATCTATCCAAACAATGCCTTAGATGTTCCAGCATGGTTTAAGTGTCTCATGTTTGACTTTTGAGGCTCAAAGATGGATATCTTTGAGAAAGAAAAAAAATTGTTAAAGGTAAGAGATAAAAATGAATATTTCATATTTGGATTTTAGTGTTGATAGCGTTTCTAAATCCATAATTTCCATGAATCAGGAGGACCGAAGAATCCAAAATAAAAACAAGTAACTTAGATCCTTTGCGGTGTAGAAACGGTACAGCATATAACTCTCCTGAGTCCTGATGAGCAGAGCTATAACTCTAGTTTGAGTTTGGAAGCTGGATATAAGACTTGATGCAAATTGTGAAAATGAAAAGGTGGTTTTATCATCTTGACCTGAACCAAAGGCCCAGTCCAGTTCAGTTATAGTGATTAGGACAAAGGCCCAGTCCGTTCCAGTTAGAGTGATTAGGAATGGCAACGAGACAGGGATGGGGAGTTTTCGGTTCCTGGTTTGTCCCCACTAACGAGGATAAGGTTTTTTTTAGGGATCTCTACTTTATCATTTTTTTTTATTTAATTCCAGTTTTTTGAATAAAATAGTTACAATTTATAATCCTTTTAAAATAGATTCAAATATGGGGAGTTTCCGGTTCCGTTCCCATTCCCACCAACAAAGAACGGGGTTTTCTCCATCCCCATCTCCACAGGGATCCCCACTCCCTATAATTTTTTATGATGTTAAAATTCATTTTATTTTTTATTTTTATTTCATTCATTTTTTTTTAAAATAAAATAGTTTCAATTTGCAATCCTATTAAAATATGTCCAAGTATGGGGAGTTTTCCATTCCCATCCCCACAAACAAGGGCATGGTTTTCCCCATCCCCATCTCCACAAGGATCCTCACTCCTTATCATTTCTTTATGATGTTAAATTCATTTCATTTTTTATGTTTATTTCATTCCAATTTTTTAAATAAAATAATTTTAAATTACAACCCTATTAAAATAGTTCCAAATATATACAAACATATTAATAATATTTTTAAAAATATTAACACAAATATATATTACCAAGTGAGGATTCATACAGAGTGAGAATCAAGACCCTCACCGGATGCCCGGATGGGGTATGCACTCCCCATCCCTTCTAAAGGGATGAAAATTTCTTCATCCCCGTCCCACCGTGAAAAATCATATCCCCATCCCCACCCTATTTGGGGCAGATGTCCCCAGGAGGATGGGTAAATGGGAAAATTGAATCCCTAGAGTGATAAATTCTGATATTCGATGTTTGGATTTTGGTGTTGATTCTATGGAATAATTCTAAATAAGAAAGACTTGTTTAGGTTGTTTTCTATGCAGAACGGTATCATT